ATAAATAAATAAATGATTGATTGTACACATGTTATATTACATAATGAGTACAAATTTAAAAGTAAAACCATGAAAAATATACTATGAATAAAATAAATATCTAAATAGTTACTATACATAACTATATATAGTTATATATATATAGTTACATATTTGGTTTTTTTTTTATTGGGAATGGTTAATACGATATAAAAGTATTTTTATCTATTTYGGATAGTTATACTTACGCTATCCATATCATATGCAAAATCACCAATATGAAGTATCATATCATAGAGTTCTCGTTCAGTTTCTTCTTGTAATCTAGGAAGTGACTGTGCATTTACATTACCCAAATCACCAAAAAAAGCAAGGCTAGGTGACCAATTGGTATCACTAGGAAAAGTTTTAAACCAAAATCGAGGAGACCAGCCTTGATGACTTCCACAGTAATACACTATATAAACGTAAAATTGTGTTAATAATTACTACTGGAAACTAGTTTTTTTTTTCAAATATAATTACCATATTTACTGGACGGTTGTAATCCAGAAAGCCTAACGCGGTGTATATATTGAGTACGATGAAGTTCACCACCATCTACAAACAATGTAGAAATACCTGTAGCCTTAAGAATTGGTCCGCTAATTCCATATTTTACCACTGATTCTTCTGTATTGTTCCATGTTGTCCATGTAACAACTAACTCAGTTTCAGATTCTAACAAACATATTTAAGATAAGTAAATAATAGCTTAAGATATTAATTTATCAATAAAACTCTTTTTGTCATTAGYAAAATCTATAATTTTAGTATGTACGAAGAATATTAGATAAATAATATTAAGGTTGGATATATCAGCTTATCAAAATATAATTTGGAGCATAACCTACTGATTATTTTTAGAACAATTTCAAAATTAAACTTATAATTTGAATACTTTGTTTTACTATCTAGTTATAATTAAAAGTATTCCGAAATAATCATACAAGTTTGTAATTTAATAACAAACACAAAAATAGTAATAATTACATGATCATACAGTTGTTCAGATGTATAGTRCTAGATAAAATTTTGAAAATGGAAAAATCATTTTTTGTAAAGCTTATAGGTACCTATTTGTATTATATATATTATGTTTAAATACATAAATGTACATTTTTATGTTKTTGAATACTTATTACTTTTAATTTTTCTCCTATAGTGAATTCAGTAAATCCATATAGAATTTACACAATTCAATTGCTTAYTTATGGTAAGAAAAACTTTCAACTTACCGCCCAATGATAAATGAATCTGTTCTGGTTGATACCTTACAAGAGGATCTGCTGTGCAATAGACAAAGAGTGTCAGAATGACTAATCGAAAAATCTTCATTTTGGTTTATATATTATAATTTTTCAAATAAAATCACAGGAATATCAAGTTATTATATTAACTTTATCAAACAAATTTGATTCATTGTGGTATTTTAATTATAACAACAGAAATTTATTTTAATTTGACTTTTAAACACAACAATCAACTAACATTGAGTTGCACACTATTATGAAACTAAATACTTATCCAAATACGATTTGAGTACTAAACTTCCTGTTGGACAGAAGTACAATATTCAATAACAATAATAACATTATATTTCATATTATTGTTTTTAGTTGAATAAATAAATAAATAAGTTTTGATAATAAAAAATATCTTTTGTTTTGATAAGTGATAAGCTATATCCATTCTTAGATCATATTATTATCAGCCAAGTGGACAACAAGGTGACATATATGAAGTTAGAACCATTAAAATTATCAATAATTAACCTAAACTCGAACATATCTTCATGCAATTATCTTTAATTTCTCATGGGCCGTCATTATTATTTATTTGGATACCTATTTGGAAATTGGAATCTACAACATTGTCAAAGTTTTTCGTTCATTTATCATTTATTTTAAAAGTTTATTCTGTTTTTGAATCTCGATTTCGTCAAATTTTCACAGTATATAATCTTTGTCATTGATGTATTAAAAGTAGAAATTTCTTTTATATTATCTTATTGTGTTTCAGCCATGGCTACCACAGTCGCTACAGTTGATGCTATTCCTGATGTTGAGATGACAGATGTGTCAGATTCCCAAGATAAAAAGGACGCAGCAGTAATACAAGAAATAAGAGATAATATTCGACAAATTGAAAAGGCCGTTCAAACGAAAGAAGCGCGTTTCATGTTACGTGTCTTGCGTTCGTGGTCAGTTACCCGGCGCAAGCTCAATGCTGTTGTCTTGTGGTCGGTCATCAACGGCTTCTACACACACTCTGCTTCTGACAAAGAACTATTATTGTCATACGTCACTACACCGGCTGACATACCTGAAGCAATCAAGATGCGCACAGGTAAAAACGCAACAGGGGCTCTTCTACCTGAAATYGATGGCTATATCCGCTTGTTAGTGTTAGTTCAACTGATCGATAAAGAAGATTATAAAAGGGCAGTAGARTTTTCTGATTTACTGATGGTAAAATTAATCGACAAAAATAGACGTACCCTAGATTTGATTACTGCTAAAGCATATTTCTATCATATGAGATGTTATGAACTAACAGATCAACTACACAAAATTAAAGGGTTTCTTTATAATCGTCTAAGAACAGCAACGCTTAAAAAAGATTATGAAGGGCAAGCCGTGCTTATTAACTGTCTTTTACGTAATTATTTGCATTACAATCTTTACGATCAAGCTGATAAGTTGGTTCAGAAATCAGTATTTCCAGAACAAGCAAGTAATAATGAATGTGCTCGTTTCTTATATTATCAAGGTCGTATTAAGGCTGCCCGTCTTGAATATTCAGTAGCACACAAAAATTTAGTTCAGGCTTTACGTAAGGCMCCCCAAAATTCAGCCGTTGGCTTCAGACAAACAGTGCAGAAGTTAGCCGTCACAGTGGAATTATTGCTAGGAGATATTCCCGAAAGGCATATATTCCGTCAAGCTAGTTTGCGTAAGGCATTGATACCATATTTTAGACTAACCCAGTCAGTCCGTTTAGGAGATTTGACAATGTTTAGTGAAACACTAGAGAACTTTAAGAAAAATTTTCTCAGTGACCACACTTATATGTTGATTGTACGTTTACGTCATAATGTTATTAAAACCGCCATTAGAGCTATTGGTGCGTCATACTCACGCATTTCAGTTGATTACATTGCTGAAAAACTTGGGTTAGATTCTCCCAAGGATGCCGAATTCATTATTTCTAAAGCTATTAGGGATGGTGTTATACAAGCGACCATTGATCCTGAACACGGATACGTGCAGAGCAAAGAACCAGTTGACATATACTGCACACTTGAACCACAGATGGCTTTCCATCAACGTATATCCTTTTGTTTAAATTTACACAATGAAAGTGTTAAGGCAATGCGTTATCCTCCTAAATCATATGGCAAGGATTTAGAATCTGCTGAAGAACGTCGTGAGCGTGAACAACAAGATTTGGAACTAGCTAAAGAGATGGCCGAAGAAGACGACGATGGATTCCCTTAAATATAAAATTAGAATAATAATGTTTTCATAAATAATTGGAGTTTTAATAGTTTTATTATTATAATTTTTTATATCTAAATTCTAATATACATACATTAAAATGTATAAATTAATTGTAACATTAAGGTTTCTCATAAATCATAATTTATATACATCTTAAGGGTATATTAATTTCAATGTGTAACAAATTAAAATGTATGATTCAATAAAAGATACAAAATTAAACATATCTGTTCACCATTTGGCACGTTTCGACCAGTCTTTAGGATTCCAATGTAAACATTTTGAGTCAATTCGAATTTTCCTCTTTTGAAATGATTCAATGTGTGAAGTAATTATATCTTTATTTATTGATATGATATATTGTCCTTTATAGTAATTAATCAAATTGAGTATCTGTAAAGTTGAAACAACATCTTCTTTTTTTATGCTAGTCAGCTCACAAATTTCACTAAAAATTATTTAAGAAAGTTACATATTAGATAATAAATAATAGCATAGTATATAGGTAAAATATATTTACTTGATTGTGATTTGTGGTTTTTCGTTATCCGGCATTGGTTTCACGGTTAACAAGATGTCTAAAATAGTTTGACTCCAATAACTACGATAAGATAACAAACCTAAATCTGACAAAGGTTTTTCAGGGGTTCCAGTTTTGCCTTCAAATTTTGATAATTCGTAACCTAAACAAACAGAACAAATTAGTATTTGTATGAGTGTTTAATTTGTTAAAACTGTATATTCTACATACTAAATTCAATYAATAATTTCCCATAACCCTTCCTCTGGTAAGGCGGTAGTGTAAGAATGCAAGCAACATTATAGTCTTCTGTAGATTCTTTTTCTTTGGAAAAGTATCCCACAATATGGAATCCTTTTAAGTCATATTCAGTCATTACATAAAATAAGAACGGATCAGTGTCATAATACAAAGTCTTGTGGTCAAGAAACAGTTTTGCCAATAAACACAGGTTTTGAGAGTAAGACTTATTCTTACGGCCATCAATCTCAAAAAATGAAATTGATTCTTTTCTATATATTTCTGTACCGGGTGGATGTCTCAAGTTACATTTTACCTAAATTTATTTATAAAATTAATAATAAATAAAAGAAATTTTAAGAAAAAAATCAACACTTACACTGTGTCGATAAAGTGAAGTTCTACTTTTCTTRAATTTTAAACAAAATTCACAGATAAATATGCATCCCAAGTTGACCATTTCCTGCCAGTATAAAATGTATTAATCATGAAATATAATGATATATTAATTATTTGTCATAGATTCTGCGCTGTTATAAGGGTCGGGCCACACATAGCGGTCGAKCCGCAGCGGTTCAACCGCCAGATTACCGTTCACATATGCGCGGTCGAACCGCGTGCGGTTATACCAAAGTATTGAGTGATTGAAAAATTATTATATTTTAAAACTTAGTAATTAATAGTACCATATACTACAGTTGACATGCTCGTAATACTACTGTTGACATGCACGCTGTTCCAAAAGAAAATACACCAGATTTTCATGTATTTTATAATAGATTTGATAAAAAAAATTAAAATTATATTTTTAAAACATCAGTTTTTTTTTACAAATAAAAAAACAGTGTAATTTTAGGTTATGAAAGTTACTAKAAACCTTAGGCCCCACTATTGGAATTCTTTTTTTTTAATGCAAATGATCTCTGAAAAAATGAACCGCGACTATGTGTGAACGGACAAATTCAAAACAATGTGTTTTGATCATTTGGGCGGTCGAACCGCACGCGGGTCAACCGCGACATCTTGCGGTCGATTTTTCAACCGCAGCAATTTCCGCGGCTGAACCGCGTAAGTGTGAATGCGTATTGGGCGGTTGCATTTAAAATAAAACAATTTAAATTTGTTGAGCAGTTGAACCGCTGCGGCTCGACCGCTATGTGTGGCCCGACCCTAAAAGTATTTATAGTTTAAAAATACATATTTTATGTCCTTATACAGTGTCAGTGAAGAATTTTGTGGACCTCATAGCCCATATTATGTGTTAATTTATACTATCTATATTTCTTTATTGCATAATTTGTGGCCTGGTGCAGTTGTACCGCTTGCACTGTTAGATACTTTTTAGAACTAACAAAAAATGCAAAGCAATCAAAWGAAAATTGGATTAAATTTAAACATATGAGGGGGGCTCCGTACCAGTATAAGTTCTCAGTACTTTTTTAAAAATCAATTTTGCCACTGCARGGATTTAATAATTTTAATTTTCACCAAGCATTTTTATATACGTATTATGAAATTTAATGAGTTACAGACATTTGAAATTTTCTAGTTTTTTATGATTTATAATTAGTTAAGTAGTTAGTAGCAACATTTTCAAATAATTATTTGGTAGTAAAAAATTCTTAAAATTTTAATTTTAATAGYTTGAAAATTTAATTCTAAATTCCTCATAAATTTTTTATACYTAGGTAAATTATATTATAATTTATTAGTTATTCTTGATATTTTTGGTAAAAATTACTAATTAGTTCAACCTAGGTACTGTATAATTAATATTAAAATAAATAAATTATAAAATAACATCAGAAAATGAGGCTGATACACAATTGATATCTCTACTTAAAATTGTTTTTTGAATGTAATAATTTATCAAATTTAATACATCCATAAATCATTCAACAAAAGGGTCTACACCCTTAGTTGTATTTTTACCTGAGGATATGGAGAAAAATACCAAGGGCTTATTCTATTTAAACCAAGTTCAATCATTTCTACATTTTTCATCCGGGTGACAACATCATCATGTTGCATAACCATTGAACCTGTCTGACGTGGTGTTGGTGTTGGTAAATCTTGAGAATCCTGTTGAATCAATAGATCATAAGATATTCTAACTCACAAGACACAAATTTCAACTCACTTCATTATCAGCAATTTTTCTCTTTCTAGAAATTTTCTTTTGTAACGCAGCAGATARAACTGTAGCATCATTGTTTGGTACTGCWGGTGGTAAACTTAATGGAGAAGCTGGTCGACTCTGAGACAGTATTGACACGTTTTCAACTTTTATTTTTGGGGTACTAGCACCAGTACCAGATGTTCCAGTAGTCATACCATCTTTTCTGGGATATTGGACTTTACGTGTATCTAATCGTTCTTCTGTTACCCATTCGTCTAATCTTTTATTATCTTTAATATTAAATTAACAATTTATATAGTTTGAACAGTATCTATATTAGTAACAAATTATTTTAAATTAAATTTAACTTACAATCAATATAATGGACATAATAATACCGTGTCGTTCCAACGTCTTTGATACTTATTACTTCTGCTAGTGCTAAATAGAAAAAAAATTGTTTTAAATCTACAATACTATTCTTGATAACTGACCATCATAGGTGCTGATTTACTTACGCCAATCATCACTGCTATGCATCCTCACAGACAGACGGCATCCTTCCGTTAACAAATTCTTAAAAAAATAATTATATAAGATAATATTATGTTTTCAATAAAGTTGAATACACACTCACCACTGAATCGCATAGAAAATCGGGCTCTTCCTTCATGATTAAATTATATATTTTTTGAATAATTTCTGTTCAGTWAACTTATCAAAAAAAACTGTTGTAGTAGTAGATTTAAAAATCTTTTATGATGTCACTTTTAGTGAGTTGAGACAAAAATTAAACGCCAGAACCATTATTACCTTGCCAGAACGGACAGTGGAGAGTGGACAATTATGATTTCAGTCATTTCAGATTTGCAGAATGTACATTAAATGATTAAATTCTTAATTGATAAACGCTAAAGAGCCGCTAAGTAATAAAAGTTGGATCGTAAATAAAATTATCAAAACATAAACATTAGTGGTTGTTGTAGTAATTACGATTGATTATTGATACCAGCTGCTGCATTGCAGGCTACTCTATGGGCTGCAGCTGCAGGCTGTGAATTGTGATTATATGTTTTATCACAGAACATGTTTTATTGACGAAAATGTAAAATCATGGAATACCAAATAAAATAATGGAACACAAAATGTGAATTAAAATAATCTCAATAATTGTGTAGTGATAAATGATTAATGATATCCCATCCCTAAAGTAAACAGTAACCAGTATCCACACGTGTTCATGTTGGAAATTTACTTTTTTATTTTTTCCCAAATTTGAAATTTCCAAATCGGTTAACCTTAATTCTGAGAAATGTACGATTCATTTTTTTATTAGTTAATTAATTATTAATACAATATTGCGTTAGTGCAATATTGGCCACCCCGTGGATACTAGTGATACTACCCATCACTAGTCGTATCAGAACCGAAAGAAAAGTTTCATTAAAAACCGCCAAAAGACCTAAAGAGCGATATTTGATTTGACCGAATTTTTTTAGTACACCATTCGGTCGCGATCCGCACATTTGACAGATTCGTTCATTTTGAAATTTGATTCTTTCAGACATTCAGTCGCGACCATCGCAACTATAGCGTTTTGGAGGTGAAATAAAACATGGAAGAAGATCCATTTTTAGCTCGTTACACTTACGATTTATCTCCGGAATTAATTACCTGTTTGAATGACAAACCTCCACTCGAAGAGGAAACTGTTTTAGAGTGGTCCGAGTTGGGAAAACTTATTTTCAAAAAACCAAAACTAACAATAGTCGAAGACCGTCGAGTCAAGGCGTTGGAAGAAACTCGACCGTTTGCCAAGCTGCCCAATGTTCCTGTTGCCGTTGACAGTGTTCAAAAATTGTTTTTGCACAAACAACTCACATCAAATATAAAAAACGTCAGTAAATTCCAATTAGAACTATTGTCAATAATTACTAGGTATCATGATTTCAGTTACACCGAAAGAAGTTTTGAAAATGCAGAAGAATTAAGGTATTGTTACTGTATACATGCAATTAATCATGTTCTTAAAAGTCGAGATATTGTTGTAGAAAATAACAATAAACAAGACGGTGATGAAGATGAGTTGCGTGATCAAGGGCTTACTAGACCTAAAGTTTTAATTTTAGTCCCATTTAAAGATGCAGCATATCGAATAATAAACATGATGATATCTCTTTTGTCTCCCAAAGAAAATTTCAATGTAGTGCACAAAAACAGATTTGTAGAAGAATTCACTGGTGGTGAATTGACGTTACCAAGAAAAAATCCTAAACCAGAAGATTTTGAGAAAACATTTGTTGGAAACATTGATGATGCATTTAGAATTGGTATGGCAGTTACTAAAAGTAGTTTGAAACTGTATGAGAATTTTTATAACTCTGACATAATAATAGCATCACCACTTGGCTTACGTATGATAATTGGTGCTGAAGGAGAGTCATCTAGAGATTATGATTTTTTGTCATCTGTGGAAGTGCTTATGTTTGATCAGTCTGAAATATTTTTGATGCAAAATTGGGATCATGTGTTACACATCATGAATCATTTTCACCTTCAACCAAAGGAAGCACATGGTACAGACTTACAGCGAGTGCGTAATTGGTCAATTAACGGTTTGTCTAAACATTATCGGCAAACAATATTATTCTCATCATGTAAATTACCTAATTTGATGGCAATATTAAAGAATAGATGTATAAGTTATGGTGGCTCAGTTAGTGTTGTAAATCCAATCGTAACTGGTACTATTAGCCATGTTGTCTGTAGTCTTAAACAATTCTACCATAAACTCAATTCAAAAACACCAACTGAATCTATTAAACAAAGATTTGAATATTTTATAAATAAAATACTTACACAACTTCAAGCCTCAAGTGAAAAACATGTCTTGATCTATATTCCATCTTATTTTGATTTTGTGTGTATAAGAAATTACTTGAAAACGGAAGATTACAGTTTTGTACAAATTAGTGAATACACCAAACCTGGTAAAGTAGCCAGAGCCAGGGATTTATTTTATCATGGAGAATGTCAAATTCTGCTATATTCTGAGCGTTATCATTTTTATAACAGAACAAAAATTCGTGGTATTGAAAATATTATTTTTTATCAATTACCCACATTTGCCAGCTTCTACAGTGAACTTTGTAATTCAATCATAGACAACGATGGCTGTACTCGAAATATTACAGCACTCTACTCGCATTATGACGCATGCGTGTTGACTTCAATTGTTGGAACTCAAAGAGCTAAATACATGTTGACTTCAGAGCAAAAAATACATATGTTCCATTCAGGAACATAATGTGGTTAAATCTATGTTTAAAATTATATTTTTCAATAATAAAAAAAAAAACTTATATTTTAAATGATAAGTTATTTAGCTTGTGTTTTCTATATATAATAGACAACTACAAAAAAAAACTGAAAATATAATGGTTATAATCAAGTATTTCTAACTAATAACTGTATTTACACAAAATAATATAATATGTTTATAGATTTATTCTTGTTGTTTTTCAAGAGATTTGGTTATCTCCTCATATTTCTCAGCCCTATACGCTTTTTTTGCTTCATCCAATAGAATATTATGTATAAAATTTCTTTGATCTGATCGCTGAGGCAGAATTGCTGGAAACGGATTACCTACAAGTGACATGTTAAATTWTTGTTATTATATTATTATACCTGAAATAACTCAAGTTGTCTAATTAATAAGCCAAACCTTTAAGTTCTAGTACTGAACGAGGATACACAATTTCTGGGTATGCATTTGGCGCCCTGTATAACATTGTGTATGAAGTCTGGTAATCATTAAACCGCGGTACCAGTACTTTAAACAATTTATGTATCAACTGTTTTTCTTCTATCCAATAGTCGGCCATCTCCATGGTTGGTTTGTGTGTATCTCCATGCCTGATGGCTTCAGATATCAACTTAACATAAAATCATAAACAAAAAAGTATGAAAAGAATACCTTGAAAAAGTAATCAAATGTATAATTGTATAGTTGTGTTTTAACGACAGGGAACAGTGGAGAAAAATTACTCACTCTTTCTGCATACCCTCTGGTCTCGTCGGCCAACGTATAATTCAATTCTAAACGTTCRTACTTGAAAAGAGCATTAACAGTTTTACGCAACTTATTTAACCGACCCTGTGGTCCTTCGGGACATTTTAAATTTTTATGTCGAGGACTAACACGTATTCTCAGTTTAGACATTAACTGTGAAACTTCCGCTTGATTCATCGTGAAACAATTCAATCGTCCTCAATTTCTCTTAAATATTCCAGCGAAATCGTTAAGACGTTAACCAAAAGGACAAAATTGCAATTTTATGGTAATGAAACATCAAAAATATATCGTACCGTTATCATTCAA